CCTGCATCGCTGGGAGTGCAAACTCCCAGGTATAATCTGAGGTGCCTTTTCTCCCTCTGGGAGAATGAGGTTTTATTTACAGATCTCTACACCACTGTTGCCGAGATTGGTGTGCTTGTATACCTAGTGGATATCTGTGCTTAAGTGGGGCAATTTTTATCGTCACATTAATCTGCTCGGAGGAGGCTGGAGGATTTGTGCAGCGTCCTGTTGGAGGTGGATGAAGCGCAGCATCCAGTGGCTACAGCTCTTTGTAGTCCTTCCCTCGTTTCCACCCATGCTGCTTCACTCTTAGCCTTCTCTCGGTTTCAGCACTGTGTTTCTTCCCTGACTGTGTCAGATTTCCATGTGTGTTCATATTTCTGTGTCACCTTTAATATTATTATAGCAGTTCTTTCACTGACTTTGATCTCCCTTGTTTCAACTCCTCCTCTCCACACCCCTTTTCTTGGACTTATTCTTGTCCACCTTGGTCTAGGATGGAAATGATGCCTTGATTTTTCAAGAGGTTTTGCTTGCTTTAACCCAACATGGCAAAAAAATCCACTGCGTAGTCCCTTGAGTAGATTCAGATCTTGCCATCTCCAGGCTCAGATGCAGCACCTAGATGTGCAGTGAATGGGGTCCTAGGGATGCAGGAGGGTGATGGGATGTGTCCTCATGGTGCTTCACCCGTGGTGACAGCATCATCTAATTCTTTTTTTGATAGCTGTGGGCTGTTCAAGACTATTGTTCCTGGGGAGTTCAGTTTTCTCATAGAAAGGGGCTACTTTGGGAAATGAATGACTTAAATGATGCATGGGATTTATTTCTTCCTCCTCCCACCCCTTCCCTGATGAGTGTAGCTTGTTTAGGACAATGTTTTTGTTCTTTTTTTTTTTTTTTTAAGATTATTAAGCCTGACCAGCAGGACCAAACTCTGGTCCTTAGGACACAGTGACCTTTTCTTGTTCCTCAGCCTCCACAATCCCAGGGTTATCCTCCCCATGGAAATCCAGGCTATCTCCTGGAGCCAAGACGAGAGGAGGAGACCAGGGCAGGAGAGTGCTGAGGTGCAGGGGCTGTGACAGGGCAGACAGTGAGTTGTTGTCCCACGGGGGATGTAGGGACTGGGAAATGTCCTGAGTGGGGAGCGCTGGCCCTACGGCCTGGCTGGGCCCGGCGGGACAGCATCCCTGAGGTGCTCGCACGAGGTGGCGTGGGCCCAGCTCCGCCGCCTTGCTCCGTGTGGCTGAGGTCGGGGCCTTCACCCTTGTCCCAGGCCGGGCTGGTGGCTCCCGGGCCGTGGGCTACAGCGCGGTGGGCAAGCTCCTTCTGCTGCTCTGTGTTTTTAATGAGAAATCCCTTTCTTGTCGAGCCTGGCACTGACTTCACACAAAAATACTGGTTTTGATGGATCAGCAGTTACCAGCAAAGCCATTTAAACCGTTCTTTGATAGCTCTGTCCTGGATGCAGTCAGATTTCTGACGGTTAAACTGTGACAGGGAAAAATAAATAGAAACGGAGCTAACTAGTGAAATGGGAACAATGGGCAGTAAAGCGTGGTGCTACCATGAGGAAAGTAATCGAAGCCTTAGAAAGCCCTGGTTTTAAAATCTCAGCTGATCCCCTACAATCAGCATTAGGGTCGATAAACTTCTCTTTGCCTAAAGCCACGTTTGTTTTAGATTGAATACTTTCCATATGGCTCTCTGGCCGGGCTGGTTCCTTTTGTATCCTTTGTCCCTTACGACTCTCTATTTTAATTCCCCTTGGAAGCTCGCGGCTTTGACTGGAGGAGCAGAGCTGATGGGCTGCAGCGTCCTTCCCGGCCACCCTGGGCCAGCGGGCTCTCGGTGCTCTGTGGAGTATGGGGCTACCGAGAGGGAACCCGAATGGCGTGCTTGCACCGTGGCCTGAAAAGCCGCAGGTGCTTGGAAGAGCATGGCTGGTCAAGGGGAGGTGGTGTTCCCCTCTGGCGAGGGGTGGGCTGCTCAAGAGATGTTGAGATCTGAGGAGGTGGTGGCTACCTACAGCATGTGGGCTACGAGGAGAGGCTGCGGGAGCGGGGCTGGCCCAGTCTGACAAACAGGAGGACAGGGCGACATCCCACAGCAGCCAACTGCTACTTGATGGGGGACTCCAAGGAAGCCACTTCTTGGTGGTGGCAGGTGACATGTAATGCTGTCGTGCTGGGCAGCAGCCACAGGTTACTGTTTGGGAGGTTTGGCTTGGACATAAGGAAGATGTATCAGCAGTAGTGTGGCCAGCAGGACCAGGGCAGTGATCGTCCCCCTGTACTCGGCACTGCTGAGGCCGCACCTCGAGTGCTGTGTCCAGTTCTGGGCCCCTCACTACAAGAAAGACCTTGAGGTGCTGGAGCGAGTCCAGAGAAGGGCAACGAAGGTGGTGAAGGGTCTGGAGCACAAGTCTGATGGGGAGCGGCTGAGGGAGCTGGGGGTGTTTGGTCTGGAGAAGAGGAGGCTGAGGGGAGACCTGATCGCTCTCTACAACGACCTGAAAGGAGGGGGTAGTGAAGTTGGGGTCAGTCTCTTCCCCAAGTAACAAGTGATAGGACAAGAGGAAATGGCCTCAAGTTGCACCAGGGGAGGTTTAACTTGGGTATTGGGAAGAATTTCTTCACCGAAAGGGTTGTCAAGTGTTCGAACAGGCTGCCCGGGGAAGTGATGGAGTCACCATCCCTGGAGGTATCTAAAAGATGTGTAGACATGGTCCTTAGGGACATGGTTTAGTGGTGACTTGGCCGTGCTAGGTTTACAGTTGGACTCAGTGATCTTAAAGGTCTTTTCCAGCCTAAATGATTCTATGGTTCTGTGATAAAAACTTTCACCCTCGGCAGCTGGTGCAGCACTGGAGCAGGTCCCCAGAGAAGCTGTGCCATCTCCATCCCGGGAGGTTTTGAAGACTGAGCTAGGGAAAACCAGGGCTGGCCTCACGTAGTGTTGGAGGTAGTTTGTCTTTGAGCAGGAGATTGAGAAGAGACATCCAGGGGTCCTTTCAGCCTTGAATTTTGCCCTCTTTCAGTTCTCCGTGGTGCTGCTGTGAATGAAGGCTGTGCCTCCATGGGACTAACGGGCTTTTGAAATCTGTGTTAAGCAACTGCTCAGGAGAGGAAGAAAAAGAAACTGTGTGGGAGCAGGTGTGTGGTTTTTTTAATAGAGTGCGTGACTGAGAACGTTCCTTGAGAAGTGGTCAGGGAGCCTCATGAAAGTAACCGTATTTATTGTATAGCAAAAAGCATTTATTGTTTGTTAAATACTTAGGACCAGATCACTGCTCTGATCCAGCTAGTGCACACTGCTCTGGCAACACAAAGTGTCTGTTAAACCAGCTTAATTGGCTGATTAATCTGGGTTTATAACTGCTTCGTTTTGCTGGGGTGGTGAGGAGCAGCCAAAAGAGAGAAACTGCTGTAGTCCGTGTGTTTAAGCTGTTGATCCATCTTTTTGTAGGCCGAATAAAAAGGCAAGGTTTACCCTGCTGAGCTGCTGCCCCGTGTTTCAGTAGAAAAGCAGAGTTCCCTGGGACCGTGGGGTTCTCTGCCTGTGTTACACACCTCAGCTGCCCTGAAACCTTGCATTTCTCACAGGGATTTCAACAGAAGCTCTGCAAACAGCTTTGAGAGTTGCCGTGTTCCCTTCCAAAGGGTAATTTAATAGAATAACGTTTGTTGGGAGTGTGTAAGAAGATGCAACCTTGTCAGCAGATCAAGACCAGTGAGCAGTCTGGTTATAGATGGTGTCACCAAGCAGAAATATTGCAAAAGGACTTGCTTTTGGTGGATATAGGGACATGCAGATATCAATACATACTTAAAGCAACATGTTTAAGTGCTGTCATGAATAAATATGAGCTCCTGAACTGGTGCTAGAAAGAGGATCTCGCTGTGCTCTGACGGGGGTACTTTGGTGCATTGTCTTCCGTCGCCTGTCCAGGTCTCTGGCAGCTGTTGCTGTCCCAGTCTGGTGTTCTCTGGGCATCGCTGTGATTGCAAAGACTGGCTTAGCCAGCGAGTGAGAGGGTTTGAACGCAGCCTGCATCCTCTGTGCTGGCAGGTTCGTGCAACCTTGTGCTCGGTGGAATGGCATTGCTGGAAGAGACTGAGAGACCTGCTTTGAGTGCGAAATGTAAAAGATAAGAGGCAAAAAATTGCTACAAGTGTGGGAGATCTCAGTCTTGGCTGGTGCTGCCAGCACCTTTCTTCCTGCTGTCTGCTCTGCTCGCAAGCCTGCGCAGTAGAATGGTGTCGGTCATATGCTCCGGAGATGCCGTGAAAACTGGAGATGCTGTTCAGAGCAACCACACTGGGTGCTTGAGTAATCCTTGCGTCAGTGGCACTGCTTAAAAGAATGCTACCAACTTGCTAGCAAATGTAAAAATAAATGGCTTGCATAAGGTACCTGTTAACAGTGCTGGATGCTCAATGGATGGTGTAATGGGAGTTTGGGAAGTCAAGAGTTGAAGCATGTGCAGAACAGACCTGGTAAATACAAGGCTGTCAGAGAGCAGAACCATTAGTGATGGGTTTACGAGAAGAGAACCTGCTTTTAATGTGGATTGCTTTCTAAAAGAAAGTTTAAAAATAGTGAAATGGTTCTGTGCTTCATTTTACGCTGCCAAAAAGATAACATACTGGTGTGCCTGAACTAGGGAAAGGGGATTTAAATAAAAAAAGGAAAAGATTAAACAGGAAAGCTACAAGAGGTCCCCAGTTTCTGGCAGGACTCCATGTATTAGATATGTTTTCACTTTCGGTGTCTTGCACCAGTCTGTCTGAAGAGCCTGGGAAAAGACGCTATTAAGTATCGTACATCCCGCTTGGAAAACTTGTTACTGCAGTTGGGTTTTATAGCAAAATTAAAAAACTATAAAATTATGCCCTTTATTGTGATGTCATTTAATAGATGTGCTTGCAACAGACATACATGGGCTACTATACGTCACGTGCTTCAGAATAACTGTGATGGATTTTGTGTGTGTGTTTGCTTATTTTTTGAAGAGAAGGACGTGCCAAACAGACCTCTGAGAGTGCGTGCCCAGTCTCCAGATGGAAAGTTACCTTTTCGGTGGAAGCCACCTTATGGAGCAGGCTTCAGGGGTCCACGCAGCAGATCCCAAGGTTACCTCCGTGGGTACGGAGAGAGCAGCCGAAGGATGAGCTATGCTCCGCTGCTGCAAGAGCGACAAAACCAGGAAGCGAGAAAACTAGGTGAGTTGGATTTCCCTGAGAGCATCGAGCTGAGCTAGCACACGTCTGTAATCGATGCCCTGTGGCTGCTAGGTGAGCGCACATCACGCACGTGGTGTTGTAGCCGTCAAAATGACTTCTTCCTCTATATGAAAATGCTCACCGTATTGCATTCTGTAACATGTTCTTAACAGAAAAATACAATCACCAGGGTAGAAAGTGTAGCAGAACTTGATGCTGTGTTAAAGAGACATCATGTGTGAGTTACTCATGTTAATAGCAGAGGGAAGGGCTGGAGAGAAGAGCCATAGCTCAGATTCTTCTTGCATGTGGTGGGACCCCTCTGAAATCCATTATTCCTTGTCCTCTTCTTACACTTTATGTCCCTACATTATTTCAGGCCAGTGGAGAAAAAAGTAATGCTTTAATTGAATCTACCCACGCTTACCATTACTACTGCTTCATGGGCTTCGTACTAGAGTGTTACACTCGTGTGTCCATGTTCTCTCCAATCCCTTCATGAGGTCCTGGTCACTAAGGGCTCCTGAGACAATCAGGTTGGCCTCTTCTGTGCTCCCTGCCCTGCCATGATGGTTTGCACTCGTGCCCTAGATCCCCTGCTCTTGATTTAAATGATTTCCCATCTAACGATATCAATGAGATTTGCAACAGTTTTATTTCCCCAGAGGCTGAGCATTTCCCTTTGGGCTCTTTGTGTCACTTGCCTGTGTCGTGGGTGACCTGTCTCTGTCCTGCTGCCTGAGCTCCGCTTGCCCAAGCGGGCACTAGGTCTGTACTCCCTCACTCACTTTGCTCCTGGGCTGTTCGGGTGTGTTTGCTTGAGGTTAGGCGTCTTTCTCTCAAAATCTGTTGTGTAAGCTGGAAGCCTGTCCCACAGATAGTCTGATCTTGGGTTACAAAATGGGTGATGATTCCAAAATCACCTGTGGCTGCTAGAATTCCTGGCTTTGCAATGTAAATGTATATTTCCTCTTGTGCTTTGTGGGTTTTGTATTAAACGCACATCTTTATCTCCGTGTCTCCAAAGAAGAGGGAACTCCTCAGTCACCTTTATCGGTTATTCCCCCTTCTCCTAACAGGAATGTTGTACTTACTTCTCGTCCCTTCTCTAGTATTCACTTCTTCATCTTTCCACACACCGCGTGCGGAGGGAAGACTCTGATGTCTGTGCCGAGGTGACAGGGTCGAGACACGTACGTGTGGGTGATGCTCTCTTGTTTGTTTGATGCCCAACATGTACCGCTGCTCTGCAGGTTGAGAGCCTGTCCAGGCAGTGCAGAAGTCCATGGAAATCTTGTCACAGACTTAGTGGGAGTTCAGTAATGAACTTAATCTTGATGAGAAATACTGTTTAACATGGTTTGGAGCATCTGCTTCTTGTTTTCATTGCTTTTATACTGTGTTTTTTTAAAAAGGGAGAACAAAAGTGGTTTAAATAATCAAATTATCAGGAGAAGAACTCAATCCTAGAATATAGGACTCTTGTAATGGTCTTTCCATGTTAATCATTTGCTTTCCTGCTTCTAAAATACCAACTTTAGTGTTGTTACTGCATGCATGTTGAACCCTCTGACATAAATGCTTGTGACTCTAAATAAATTAACTTTCAAGTAAGCTTCTCCTTCTGTATCAGAAAAGAATAAAACGGAGTTCTGCCTGAAAAGACTAAATTTTTTTTTTAATGACAAAATATACAGGAAAGCCTCTGTTTTTTCCCTGCATGTACAGCCTCTGAGTCAGTTCATGTGGTTTCGCTACCATCAAGGAGCTCCAAAGGACGGAGCCAACCTGTCTATAGGTCATCTTTAACTAAAAGAAAAGTCACAGGTATGTTTCTTTCACATCTGCTGTCAATTCATGAAGATATTTGAACGCAATGAGATAGCTTTGTGATTTTTAGGCTGCAAGTCTTTTGGTGCTGGAGCTGCTAGGTTTTTCTCTGTGTGTTAAAGAACTTGATGGATGTCTCTGCTTCTCTAACAAGCACGATTAATAAAATGGTATAACTCTGCAATATGGTTGGTTGGGTTCCTGTTGTTGGGGTTTTTTTTAGTCTCCTCCTGTCTTGCTATTGGCAAATGTTATGCACTGCCATAACGTCATGACAAGACTTGATTAAATCAAAGCCAAACCTCCACAATGGTATGCCTTCTTGTCAGATCTCTGCCCCCTTTTCTGAAGGGCTGATTTCCAGAAGCCTAAACCTGGTCAGCAAAAGTTTTCACTTCCTTTTGGAAAGAAGGCATTACATACTGCTGCCAAGGTTGAAAAGGATGAGTGAGATTCTAAGTCGTCTCCATGCCAGCGCCACTTTCTCACGCTCTCGCATTGCAATGAGAATGACGTGGGGGTGGCGGAGCGTTTCAGGTATTTTGATGATGATGGAGAACACCTTTGTCAGAACTGAGAACAGCGGTGTATTGGAATCCCACCTCACACCTTTTCTGGGGAGGTGATGCCATCAGTGTCTCATGCTCACTTTCTCTCTTCAGGTGCTCCCATTGCATAACTTTGGAATTCAGTCCCCTAAGCCACTTGGGAGTAATAGATGGGTCCTCTCAGCCACTTTTGTGTAGTAGCTGTTTGGCTTGGAAAAACTGGAATTGTCTGAGAACCCTCTGCATTAAAAACCTGATTGGAAGAAGTGAAATGTGCTTCCCTGCTGCCTGCCTTCTGGGCGGGCAGTGCTGGGTTTCAGGATAACCTGCCACCCGCTAAGAGAAGGGCGGTCTGTCCCTGGACTTCAGTCATGCATGAGTAAGGTCCCTAGAGAATGAAATCGTACTGCGGAGTTTACTGGCCCCTTTGCTTTCCTGACCCATCAGTATTTTTCCAATGTTACCCTCTGTAAAACTTGGGCTGGAAAGTTGTGCCTCTGGGAGACTTGGGAATAGTCGCTGTGACACTAATGGGAAGGGTCGTAAATCTTTCACGGGGCAGTAGGTAGGCTAGACTGGAAAAACTCTGATAGAGAGATAGAAAAAGGAGTCTCATCAAAATTAAAAACCTCAAAAAAATCAGATTAGTTTCACTTAATTTTGAAATTTTGTAAATTATTTGCAAAAGATGTTCTAATATGTCAAAACAACCCACTTCAATGATTTTAATTTTTGTTTTAATGTGTTTTTTTTTTTTAATTTTTGCCTTATATACCGTAGAAAATGAAAAGCTGAATTCAAATAACCTGTTTGAAGCCCTCAAAAATGTAAAATATGCAGGAATTCTCCCTTATGAAAAATTTTTGGCAATCCTTGGTTTTATTGCCCTTCAAAATGAAACCAAATTTTAGAATCTAAAAATTTTTCGTAAGGCAAAATTTCTGCTCTCCAGGCGGCTCTAGCAGTGAGTTTGCCAGAGATGATGAGTGTCAGTATGTTAATAAGATGTTTGCTGTAAGTAACAGTTTGAGGACTGATAGAATATTGAAGGACTGTGGAATATTTTAGTATTCTGGTCTTGTAAGCAGACAATTAACAGAAGAAATGATGTTTCCATGGGGTACCATCAGTAACCAATGTGCTTGGATTTCCACTGCCACTGTATTTGTTACTCATCTGTGCTGTGTGCGTATTATAATGTCAGTTGAAGACAGTTAGTGTTTTTTGAGACCTCTGATGTTGTTATTGATGTGCCATTTTGTTTTGCCATTTCAGAGGAGGAAGAGGTGGAGGTGGCACAAGACATAACTGTTCGAGTTATGTCCTCTCAGTCTGTGCTCGTTGCTTGGACAGACCCACTGTATGAAAAACAGAAGGTTGCAGCAAATAGGTAATTAGCCCTGCGTTTTCTTTTCTGAATGCATACTGAAGGTGAATTCCTGCCAACGCACTACTGATTGCTTTTGCATTTATTTAATTACAGTTGATTATAATTTAGCTTACGGCATAGGAATTTGCATATACCTACCTATGACGTGGCTGGTGGGGGATACTTCAGAGAAGCTGTTAGAAACCTGGCATGGGTGGATGTGGGGTGATGTACCCTCCTTGCCTCCCAGTGCCCTGGTATGTAGAGTTCTGTGTAAGTGCTGGACTACAGGGGTTTAGATCCCTTCTGAAACGTCGTCAGGACCAACTGGGGATATTTTGCTATTCAAATGCTGGTATATCACCATGGTCAGCAAAGCCCCCTCTGTGAATGGGGAGGGAAGGGGTGGGAGACAGGGCACAGCCCACAGAGGCGAAGTGTTGAGTTGGATTGTCAGAACAGACTACAGCTTCGAGACAACCGTATGGTGAGTGACGGAAGCATCACTGCAATGGGAAGGACACCCAGCAGTGCCTTCTGCATCTGCTGACCCTCCAGAAACCCCATGCAGCTGAGGCTGAGCAGCTCGGGGGCTCCCATGAGCGGGAGAGCTTGGCTCACAGAAGCGTGCCACAGCAGTTGGAGACCAAAATAAACAGAGAAACGGGCTGGAAACTGCCAAAGATCTGAAAGTGCTGGATTGTGTTGCTCAGCCTGGGAACACCGAAGGGCTGTGCAACCCAGCACTGAAACACCCTGAGGGGCGCAGCGGGAGAAGTGGTAATTTTAGATGTTCTCCGTTTCCTTGTGGAAGTGGTTATCTGGGCAGACACGTGGGAACCAAGCCACCAGCGCTGCTCTGGGATCGAGGGGCTCCCAGCCATCCGGCCATGCTCCTGGCCATGGGGCAGCGAGATGGTGGCGTGGAGTCCCCCAGGATGCCTGGCTTTGTTCGGAAAGCCCTGCGGCTTCCCCCCAGGGCAGGGGGTGTTTTGAGTAAGAGGCTGGAAAGAACAAGTCTGTCCCTTGGGGTGAAAGCAATCAGACTCCATTAGAGGAAGGCACAAATATTTGCTTAAAAGATGCTGGCTGGTGGTGGTGGTGGTGGTACTTTGTTGTTTGCATTTTGGTAAGTTCCCCAGTAAGCCCCAGCAGGCTAGCTGAGGGGAAAGCAGCCCCGTCCCTCTATGGTTCTGCTAATGCAAAGTTTCGGCATGTGAATTTTTATTTTCATGCGTTTCTGATCTCAGGCAATACAGTGTTCGCTATCGGGAAAAGGGGGAATCGGCGAGGTGGGATTACAAGCAGGTGTCCAACCGGCGGGGGCTGGGGGAGAACTTGGTGCCGGACACCATGTATGAGTTTGCCGTCCAAATCTTGGAGGGAGAAAAGGAAGGCAAATGGAGCGTGTCTGTTTACCAACGGACCCCGGAGGCGGGTATGTATTCAGAAGGTCCTTGGGGTAAGATAAATCTTAGGGTTTGAGCTGTGAAATAGGGCTGACTTGAAGGAAAGCCAGAATAAGTGGTTGCCTGGAGCAGCAGAGGGCTGGGAACATGGGAAAAGCCTCGGTGCTGCTGCCTATGTCCCTGCAGCAGTGCCCTGGAGAGCATACTGGGGCTGCTCTTGTGGCACAGCGAGAAGAGGGGAGGTGGCTTGGGTATTTCTGGGGGACGGGTCAGCACCTTGGACCCCTGCAGCTGGATCCACTCTTCCCTTTAGGAGGAGCAGCCTGGTTGCTGTCCCTCTCTGCAGGCAGCAAATTTAAATCCTGCCTCCATCACGGAGAAGCTGTGGGGTCCCTTTGGTACAGGGAAGTGGTCCATAACAACCAAATTACCACGTCGTTCCGGCTAAGCCACAGTAGCAGTCTCATGCAGACAGCCTGTTCCTAAAAGTATGGAATAAAATGTCACCACAGGAGCCTGATCGAGAGGTGTAATACAGGCACGCGTGGACCTGAGCCATGTGCGCTCTTCACATTTATCTTTGAAATGGCTGTATAGGAATTTCTGCTATAAGAAGGAATAAATGTTGTATGCTGTGTAGGTCAAGTTTTCTTATTTGCCTCTTCTTCATATGGCTGTTTCACAGCTCCTACCAGTGCACCTGAAAATTTGGATGTTTGGCCACTAAAGGGGAAACCGACCTCTGTAGCAGCATCCTGGGATGCTCTCCCAGAGAGTGAAGGAAAAGTCAAAGGTATGTCATCACTGTCGGTTTTTAACCCCCTCAAGGAGCTGGTCTTCTCGAAGCTAGACTGCCGCTCCACAGCAAGCTGGCACCGCTGACTCTGCCAGGAGTTTTGCACTTATTAACGGCTTACACTTGAGCAAGATTTTCTTGTTTCCAGCCCGGCATCTCCACACCGCTGCTGGGAAGCCATCGTCACTGTGTGCCTGGGATGTCGTAGAGCTTCCCAGGATGTCACGCGTGCATGCTTACCTCTTCTTCTGTTAATAAGCAGGTTGAAACGGAGCTCAAGAAGGAAGTTTCCCAAAGGGTTTGTAACAGTTAGGTGAAGAAGGAAAAGTTGGGTAGTTGCAAAGAAAGTGAGTGGGTTTATGTTGTGTTTTATTTCTAGTTTATCGTGGAAGGAAAGCCTCAGCTTAAGAAACAAGTGCAAATAGTGATTTCAACAGATATCACACATAAGCCTTGGGTACTATAGTGTTACTGTACATGGTCATAGAGCTAATTTGTCAGCAGCTATTTACCTGCATAGGATTTTTCAAAAAAAAGCTTCCTGGGACTTTTTTTTTTTCCTTTTTCCCTTGGAAAATGAACAGACTGATTTTTTTGGCAGCTCCTGTTCTCCAGTGGTTGATGGGGCTGTGTTGTCAAGTCACACAAGTTTCTGGAGGTGCCTTATGAGCACCATAGCATCTCAGGGTTTAAAACCCCTTTGGCCTGGAGGGAAGTGTACCGTGCCTGCATACAAGACCTACTTTATGTGTTCTTCAGGGTAGTGGAGGAATTCCTTCCTCTTTGAAGTCAGTAGGAGTATTGCCAGTTGCTTCAATGGAGCTGCAATTGTGTCCAAGAATTATTATTTCTTAAACTAGGGTCATGCAGGGACGTTATCTGAAATTTCAAATCTGCTCCTAATTTTGAGCAGTCTGTAGCCTTTTGTCTATTTTTGTCTGCTGATCTTTAGATGGTACAGCCAAGGCAATCATTTTAAAGATACCTGATATTCAAGGGCTTAATTCTTATACGTGTCTAATATATCATTGTTTTTCTTGAGTGTGAAGTATTACAGGAGAGGTCTTATTTTTAAACTAAATAAATGACAGAAATGATATTTATACTGGCTAAATGAAATCACTGAATTAGCACTTCATAGTCATTTTGATAGCACATGGTAATAGGGAATTTTTGTCTTTTGGTCCTTTTGTTTTTCAGCCCTGTCCTTTTGTATATTTATACCACGTATTAAAGTAATGGGAGCAAATGCCCTCCAGTAGCCATTTGAGAGTTACCAGAAGTTATACCAGTGCCTCTGCAATTAAAGCAACTCTTGTGTATCTTAAAACAAACAAAAAAACTCCTAATCCAAAGCTGACTATGCCTTCTAAGACAATTTTTTTTTTCAACTGAGCATTAAATGCATTTCCATGTAAAATGTTGATGATTTTTTTTCTGGGTTTTGTTGACCTATGCATGGCTTATTTCTTAACACAATGAATATGGGCTCATTTTCAGAAAAAAAAAAAAGAATTTTCCTGTTTTTAAAGGTGTTATTATGTTCCAGAGTTTTCTCGTCGTGGCACTGTGACTCCTCAAGTATTACTGTGTTTCTTTGTGTAGAGAGAGAAAACCAGCAGCCCTTGGAATTGATTTTCAAAACTCTGTTTCGGTCCGATACCCATGCCTCTTACAGAGGACTGAAAAGAAAAGGAAGCCTGCACGTGGCTGAGATCTTACCTGCACTCCTTGGGAGTGTGAGGGGAAGACTCTTCTTTGTACCTACAATTATTCCTATAGGGGTGAAATTTCTCTCAATACAGAAAGCTACTACAGAGCACAGGGGCCACAGCAATCCCAAACGGAAAGGGGAGAGCAGGGTGAGTTTCTGAAGTGGCGGCAAGACCTTGCTTTGCCCTCTCCGCGGTGGTCTTTGGCCCTGGCTATAGTTAAGGACGGTGTGTCGCGTTCTGATTTTGTTGGACAGGCGTGCTATCGCTGCCGTTTGGCAATATGCAGTGCTGTTATTTCCTGGTAGAAGTCTCTTTTCTGAATAAGAAATTCCATGAATTTTACCTACTGGCCCGTAGATTATAGCTAAAACCCCTCTAAGCAAAGACTCAGCTGGAAGCACTTATATTTGACTGCAGTAATACTGTTTCCAAGATTAAAGTCAGTGCTTTGGTCTTTTCACGGGGACGCCCCTCAGTCTCCAGCCCTGCTGAGGACTGACTCTATGGCCTTTGGAGCTGCTGGAGTTTCACCGCGGTGGACTGGCAGAGCTGCTTTGCATAACTAGGGTCTTAAAGTCCAGCGCAATTATAGCCATGTCAAGGCTCTGTTGGAAATGTAGGATAAGAAAGTAACTAGTAGTAATGAATAATGTCACCTGATTTTAATACTGATATCTTGAACAGTAAGTGTGTGAATACACCATTTTGTTCTCCCAAATAATTTCCGTGGGAAAGAAAATATTTTAACATTCTTATTTGCTGTGGGCATAGCTACAGTCATCAATGCAATTGTGTGTTGTCCACCACTGTGAGCAAGTTATGTTTTGGAAGAATATTCTCTGGATCATGTGTTGTTGATTGCAACTATCTTGGTAGCTAATCAGTAAGTTCAAAATTTCTCTTTCTCTTGGGAAGTCTAAAATCTGCTTGTGGTTCATCAGCTGTAACAACACGGGTATTCTGGTCGTAGCAATCCACACTACCGAACATTTGCACAGTCTCTCAGACTAGACTTCCTCAAGTAGTAGGACAGTGCATATTTTCCTGGCAATGTTCATATATGTTTTCTACCTCCAGTGCATTTTCTGTTTGTAGGTTTCCTCTGTTATTTCTGATTTAGGGCAGTTAATTTTTTCAGAGGACTCATTTTTTGCCCTTTATTAGTTGGTGTCCAGAAACAAAAAAAGGTCTCCTGGTGCAGCACACCAAACCACGCAGTAGTTGATGCTGTAACCTTCTCATGTCCCCCACACCTTCCCTGGAAGTGCGCACGCTCTCGTCCGGCTCCTCTTGGTGACATTTCACCCTGATGGGCATTGTTGCTTATGTATTTTTACAAAAGTATAGCTAACATATTCTGTCTCAGTCATGAGGTCATTGATGTGATTTGGTTTTGTCTGTTAAGATGAAAAAATGTTCAACTTACCTACATATATATGTGTATCTCTCTCTCTCATGTCTTTATACTCCAGCTGTTGACTCGGCGTGCATTGCTAGTGTATTAATTTTAGTAATGCACGTTCTAATTCATCCTACCCATACAGTCTGTCCGCTGGAAACAGGACTGTTTTCAGTTTCCTCCTTCCAACCGTCTGCCAAATCATTTCAGAATACATTCTTTCATACGCCCCGGCTCTCAAGCCATTTGGAGCAAAGTCCATCACCTACTCTGGAGCTACAACATCAGCCATAATAGATGGTCTGCAGGCCGGAGAGCGCTATATTTTCAAAATTCGTGCAGCAAACAGGAGGGGACCAGGTCCTCAGTCTAAAGCCTTCAGTGTCGCCATCCCAGCAGGTGAGCACGAAGCCATGCACCAATTGCGTAGTCCACCCATTCTTGCCTTGGTCCCAGTTGCATGAATTCTTACTGACTTAGCTTCCTCTGCACTCCATCTAACCCGTGGGATTTTACTGCCTTAATACTGTTTCTGTTAGCTCTTTTCATCACTATGTTGTCCAAAGAGATGCTTGTAGATAAGCGTTTGTCACTCTGCAGCATGTAAAAGGACATTTTATGGACATTTTAACATCTTATATAAATGCATACCATACTGTGTTTCCTGCATGAAAACACTATGTGCTCTTCTTATCCCAAGGCCAAAGAATACAATGCTTTGGGCCTTTGGTTGCACGATTCCTGACAACTCCCGCTCTTGAAAGTCACTTAGAGTGGCTCACGTAGATACTACTCCATGTGTTTGCTTCTTGCAAAAAAGATGCTGTTGTGGGGACAGAAGATTTGCTGAGTTAACTAAGAATGTAGGCCACAGCCTCAGATGGGATAATGCAGCACCATGCCATCAACATGACTAAGCTCTGCTGACGGTTTGGTTCCACTGGTAGGATGTTGCTTTTAGATATTTGATTTTAATTGCTCTAAGTTTTACCCAAGCTACAATAATTCCACATAGGTGCCTTCCTACAAACCAAAACTTACTCAGCTGGACTCCACAGGCTGGTTAATACAGAAATAATTATTGTCTTACATCCTCAGGAGTTGTTTTGTTCATGCTGCCTGATTGGTTTCTTCTCTTGGTCAGTTTTTGGTGTTCTTCGTTGTTGTGAATAAACACTTTTTTTTTTTCCTCCAGCTGCTCATGAGGATTCAGTTGCTCAGCAACAAACAAATATTCAGGATAATTCAGAGGCTAAAAAAACTGGGAATGATGGCTCATCTTCTCAAACTTCTTCTGTTTCTTCAAAAGTCCAACCATCGCTTTCCTCTAAGCAGTCGTCTGTTCATTCACCTAATGTTAGTGATAAAAAGAGTCTTCTTTCTGAATATAAGAATAAAATCTTGTCTCGAGGAGTCCTAAGTAAATCTCAGTTACCTTCTAGAAAGACAGGAGAGCTGGAACCTGATCTCCAATCCACCGAGGTGACAGATGACCGCGATTCCTCCCAAGAAGCTCCAACGACACCACCAAAAGCCCAGGATCCAAGAAGGAATGTTAGACCCTTGTCCCCTAGTCGGCCAGTCCACCCTGTCCTTGCTGCAGGGAGGACCTCTATTCGAACCCACACATCAGAGGTGTCACAGCAGATGAGGACAGAGAAACGTGAGCCACCAGCGCTGTTACCATCGTCAGCACAACACTCTTCTGCCTCGTCTGTGCCTAAATACACAGATAATGAAACAAAGCAACTGAGGCAAAGCAACACTAATGTGCCTTCAAAAACCTCTTCCCATCCTCTGCCTGCCAAAAATAATGATCTTGCAGGTAGTGTGGAAGAAAAGCCAGACCCCGTGCTGGTGAAAGTGTCTTCTAAAACTTCAGAGCCTGGTCGCCTGGCTTTGCCATCAAATCGACAGTCTGCTATCTCTCATGAGGTTGTCCCAAGCCATCCCAGTAGGCCTGGCTCCCTGGGTCATTCACATCAACCCTCTTCCAAGTCAGCAGGTTCCCATGCTCATGATAGCTATAATGAGTTTGACAGTGAAGAAGCAGAGGACAGAGCAGGACAGCCCAGTTCTAGGTCACAGCAAACAAGACTTCCCTCAGGCTCCAGTTCTCGCACGTGGAAGGATTCGAAGTTAGCTGCAGTGGCAGTCTCATCGAGGTCTGCTGTTTCTGGTCATACTTCACCTTACTCTCGCTCCTCCACCAGTGCCAAATCTGACGGAAAGGATGTTGATAAGAGTTACAGGGAGAACTCACAAGATGCAAACCCCTTATTTCCTTCTCTACCCTCTTCCAGACAGTCTTCTTCAGCAATCTATTCCAAGAGAAGAAATCCTCAGGTCGATTCCGAAACACACAGTGAGAAGTCACCCCGCTCTGACTCAGACGAACAGCAAAGTCAAGCAGCTACTCCAGAAAAGCATTCTCTTTTGCAGTCTTCTCTTTCCAAACATAAGCCTGAAGAGCAGGACAGTCGAGAGGTAAAAGAAATGCTTGCTCGATCAAAACCAGGTGTATCTTTGCCTAAAAAGACATTGCCCTCTCATCTTCCATTGGAGAAGACCTCCCACTCAGAGCCTCCACAGAGGTCACAAACCAGTCCTTCCTTACTGCATTCGAGGGGCCGGCGCCTCCCGTCTCATGTCTCATCCCAGAATAATGAAGAATTGCAGGAAGATGATGATGATGGGGATGTAACAGAAGGCAGTGACAGAGCAAGCAGCCGCTCTGTGTTTCCTAAAGAAGTGTCCTCTTCTAGGGGATTACCTTTATCTTTCTCTCAGGGAAGCTCAAGTTCATCTCTATCAAAGCAACCGCAGCCAAGTTCTCAGGTACCTTCCTACAACCCAAAACTTACTCAGCCAGACTCCAGTTCTGCCAGTGATACAGCAAAAGACAGCCAGCATAATCCAAGGTTGTCACCCACTTCTTCGAGACAGGCTCGTCCTTCGTTACCTACTCGCTCAAGGGTCCCTACAAGAACAGTGTCCCAAACAGAGAAAAAATATGGCCTGTTGCCCTCAAAAGTGTCCAAAGCTGAACTTCCTCAAAAAGTTCCTTCCTCCTCTTCATCTAAATCTCGTCAGTCAGTTTCTAATGAAGAGGATGATTATTACAGTGAATATGATCAGAAAGAAGTGGAAGAGAAACCCACAGCTTTGGCAGCAAAATGGTCCCCTTCTGTTTCTAGAGGTAACAAAAACACATACGATGATGCTACTAGCAATAAAAGGAAATCTATGGACACTCTTCTACCTCACAAAGTAAGCTCTGAAGAGGAAGAGAAGGAAAAAACTCCGACATTAAAAATATCTTCTCCTGAATCACCAGGAACCTCTGCCATAGCATCACGGATTACTCAGTCCTCTAACAAGCATACCCCATCTAAACCAAGCTTTGTCTGGCCACGTTCTTCTGCATCTGCCACCACACACACTGTTTCTCCAACAGTTTCTTCTTCTACTTTGTCCCCTCGCCAGCGACTATTGAACTCCAGGCTACGGAGCCCTTCCCAACGGCAATTTGTTAGACCTCCTTATAGACAAGGTATCTTGTCTTTGTTGTAGTAATCTCAATGAACTGTGTTTTTCCTAGGATCAGCAGTTAGATGAAAAGTCCTCTGTCAGAATGCACGTTCGGTTATTTAGTATAATGTATTACTCTTCATTTTGGTGGTTCTCAGGGAGCCCAGTTCTTGAGGACATTGCCTAATCGGTGTGATGTGGTGCCCCAGACCTTTAGTCCTGTGGTCTGATCTGCACAGGATCTCATGATCCACAGAGGAGATGACAGAGTTAGGTACTAATCTGGAAAAAGGGCTATATTCCTTATTGAGCTGTGACTTCACTGAATGCTTACTGAAAGCACGTTTGTACTCAGAATATGACAACCTCTCAGGTATATTGCTCTTCATCCTATGGATCACTAAAAGGCTTTTGTGGGTTATATAGTGCTACCTTGCCCACACCTGGGCAGTAAGGTGTTTCCTCATGATGTCCTGGCATTCTGTGTTTTCTTTAATTAATTTTTAAGCCACTTTCCTCTTGTCTCTAAGTGACACCTCAGGGTTGCACATTCCTGTTGAGGACTGCTCACATCACAGTCAGGCCCTCTAATACCTTTATGGCTGTGATTTACCCCAAATGTTAGAGGCTTGCTTTCTGGCAGAATATCTGCTGACCCTAGGTAGTGGAACAGAGGGTCCACTACACATCAAGGTGTGTCACCTGTTGATTCCTCATGTCACCTATGGAGAATCCCAGGCAGTCTAAGTGACTTTGCTAGGTAGAAATATTTTTTCTCCCTCCAGTGCATGGACCTCCAAAATGGTATTGAGTGACCTGAGTGTTTTAGTAAGTACCTTCTGTACTATATGGATAGCAATGTTTTGTTCAATGTGGCCTCGCTGTTAATACAGTGAGGACCATGCAGCTGGATCCAAAATGGTATTGAGTGACCTGAATGTTTTAGTAAGTACCTTCTATACTATGTGTAGATAGCGATGTTTTGTTCAATGTGGCCTCACTGTTAATACAGTGAGGACCATGCAGCTGGGCTGTTGTATTTGCTATGCCTCAGTCAGACTCAGTGTTGTGTAGAGGTCCCCCAGCCTGCAGAGCTTTAAGATGGGAGCAGACCTTAAATAATACCATGGAGGATGAGATGCATGGCATGAAATAACTGATTTCTCCATGGAGGTTGTATACCAGCTTACTGTTAGCCATGTGATTGGGAAGTTAATTGCCGAGGAGTGTTAAGTTAATATATGCATATATTTTCATATATATTTTTCTGGAGGCAAGTCTCTGAGCTAGGATGTGACAATTGCTGCCCTTTCTGAGCTGGGGGGCCTGCAGCTCCGTGCCACTTCTTCTCCACTTCTGAGCTGAGTGTGCCTCTGTGTAGCAGTGGCTTTTCAGCTGCAGAAGGGGAGTCCTTCCTTTTACAAAAAAAAAAAAAAAAAGGTACTCCCCATCCCCTCTCCTTTCAGTTCATCACTAAAGCTTTATATAAGGATAGGATTGAACAAGTGGTTGTGTTTAATAATGGTGTCTTCCCTCACCCCACTCCTCAAATGTTTACAAAGATCACGTACGTTTTAAAGGCTGTAGTGCCATCCAGAAATGTTACTCTGCTTTCTTAAAAAACCAAGAGGGACTAAAGAGACTGAATAAACATGGTAGAAACAAACCATGAATGTTTAACCTCTTTGGAAGAAACCGTTTCAGCTGCTTGTGTCAGCTGTGGGAATCCAACAGTGTCACAACAGTTGCTCCAAGCAGAAGGGAAATGCCTGGTTTGCCGGGTGTGGTGAGGGCTCTTTCTGCTCTTGTTTCTGTCCAGATAGGTCAAAATATGCATTTCTTTGCATTTTAAAATGTGGTTTGTAGGTTGCGCAGCTTTCTTCAGAAGACTGTGTTTTCTTCCCCGTTTCAGGTTACAATGGCAGACCTAATCTTACAACAAAAAATGGAAATGGAAAAATAATACCTGGTAATAACGGAAAACCAAGTGGACAGAGAGTAATCAATGGCCCTCAAGGAACAAAGTGGGTAGGGTGACCTTCTCTCCAAATTCAAGATGCTTTGGCCTTTTATTGTACTTACATTTTCATTAAGAGAGAACAGTGCCCTCAGTCAATGAAGCTGTAGAGTGCGGTTATACTTATTGATCTAGTTTCCACTATTCCGTTGAAATCTAATGCCAAATTCTGCATTTCATGATTTGAACATTTTAAATGTCTGATTTAAAACCTGTTGGCTTGAATTTTCACCTGTAGCATTACTCCCATAAATTTAGTGAAACGTGTTTTCCTTAAAGTCAGTGGGACTTATGCTCCCCAGTGACTCAGGGCTTGTCTGCCGTGCAGTGTGAGTGGGGCCTGCCCGGGATAGCTGCTGTGAAAGAAAGACACAGAAAGACATTTATTTTATGGCCACTTCAATCTTACTGTTTGCATTAGAGGAACATAGAAAGGTTCATCAGGTATGTCACATTCAAGGGAAGCTTTTTGAAAAGCATGCCCAAAGCCCTTTAAATGGACTCCAGGAGGTGGGGTGGAAAGGTCCTTGAGAGGCCATAGGTCGTCTCTCTACCCCACGAGAGGAGGGCATTTCTGCAAGCAGGATGAACACCTTATAAAGCAAGAGGATCTATGTCAACATCTGGGGCCTGGAGGGCTTCAGAGACTGACCTCATCATCTACTGTCCTGCCTGCTACAGTCTCTTCCCCAGCCCCAAATGTAAGTCTGTCTTGCCAACCTGGAACTTCTGCTCATGTCCTCTTCTCAGTTTCTTCCCAGCACTTAACACCTTTTGCATTTTTGTGTCCTGTGCCTCAGTGTCTGCTACCTCAGGTTAAAACAGCATACAATTCAGCTATTTTGGGTTGAAATAGCAAGGAGGACTGGATTTTGACTGCAGTTACCTCTTGAATTCGGTCCAGGGTCTCAAGACAGATTTGTTTTATGAGACAGAGGCTTTTCTTCAGTCTCCTACCCCAATTAAAATCTTAGCTACTTTGTTTTCACTGTTGTTTCAATCTAAATTAACTAGTTTCATTTTTGCTTTGTCTTTGATTAGTAGACATACTTTTAAATCCCATCTTCAAAAGGACTCCAGGTCATACTCAAATCAGTATTACAGGAATCCACCTTAGGAGTTGCGCAGCCCAAGAAAACCAAGGGAGTCGCTCCTTTGTGCGTGAGAATTACAGTAGGTGGTACGAATATGGTTGTTGTGCAGCTCTGGAACCCAGCTCCTGGGGATTTGCTTTCTTCAGCAGTGATTTTTTCAGTGATTACTATACAGTTAGTCACTCACTTTTAAAAGCCTGTGGATGTTGTAGCCGTTCCTGAACATCACACTTAGCATCTGAATTTCCCTAGGATGTCTGTTGCTGTGAAATTTCATTTCACCTCCTCTTGTGTTAGCTAAACTTGAGTCCATCTATTGCTTTTAGATTGTAGATCTTGACCGAGGACTAGTGTTAAATGTTGAAGGAAAATACCTGCAAGATTCCCAAGGCAACCCTCTCCGAGTGAAATTAGGAGGGGACGGACGTACAATTGTTGGTAAGTGATGGCTTCCTTCTTAGAGAAAAAAATCTACATTTTTTTGTGCTCATGGTACAAGTCTTTGTTGAATGCTTCAGGCATCCCCAGGTCCCATGCAAGCCATTTGAAGTTGCTTGGACCTCAGGTCTCCATCAGGCAGTCAGCACATTGCAGGGTCTGGGGAGGCTTTGGGGCATCCTATGGGGCTCTGGAGCACTAGGCAGCAAGAACCCCCCAAGTCCATCTCACTTGTATCAGCATTAGAAAGGACTGCAGGACTGAGCCAGAATAAGGATTGATGCTTGTTTATATCCTTGTATGCATAGAAAGAATTATTCCGCACCTCTAGCACTATACCAGCCATATGTGTGTGATTTATTTTATTTTTAATTCTGAAACTGACCACAAATAGTAAAAAACCCTGTGTGCGATCTGTGGAAACACTGCTGTTTGCGTATCAGTCCGCCTGTATAGATCTCTTGAATGCAAATTCAGCGCCTGCTGTTAAACTGGTTACCATGAATATTTGCAGTAGCCAGAATTTGGCACAAAAGTTTATCTGCAGTGACAGCATCTCAAGAGTTCATCCCAGTTTTTCCTTGCACGTGTTTGACATTAGGGAGCAGAATGTGGATTCATCATACCTTTCATCAACAGTTTCAAGAGTGACTTAGATTGAATGCAGGCACTATCTGCATGTTGTGATTCTGAAGTGAAACCTCCCTGCAGTCTTCCCAAGAAGTGTTTATCAAACAGCTGATAAAAGTGAACACCACTGTGGTTTATCTGAGGTTCTTTTGAACCATTTTCCAACTTCCTTAGCCATGGCTCTTTCCTAGATAACAACCACCACCTCTGTCAGCTTAGTTACAGGAGGCTGTAATCGCACTCTAAGTGCTCTTGTGGTATCTACTGTTGATAAATACCATGCTATAAGCCTGAAATGGATTAATGGTGAGATTTTTTTGGTTTTATTCTTCTCTCCTAGATGAAAAGGGTGCCCCAATGGTGAGTCCTGATGGATTACCTTTGTTTGGACATGGCAGATTTAGTAAACCTGTAGCAAGTGCACAAGATAAACCAATAATAAGCCTTGGAGGGAAACCTCTGATTGGTCTTGAAATGATTAAGAGAACAACCACTCCCTCAACTACTACTACAACGACACCCCCAACAACTACCACAACAACTACTACAACCACTACAACAACTGTTGCTACAACTACCACCACCACTCCTGAACCAACCACTGAACCACCCACAGAGAAACCACCCCCAACCTGTCCTCCAGGCACCTATGGACAGTATGATGACGAGGGCAACTTGCTATTGGGATTCGATGGCCTGCCAGAGTGCAACGCAGAAGGTAACTTCCTTTTGTGCTGTTTGAACTTCTTTGGTTGTGCCGTTTGCACAGTGCGGTTACACAAAGGTAAGGCGGGAAGGAATCTGCTTCTGAAGATTTTGGTCCATGTGATAAGGTAGGAGCTGAGATTAGAGCAGCTGAAGAAGGGTTTGGGCGTTAAATGTTTTTCCATTGGAAAATGTCAACTTTCCCCAAAGCTGAAGTTTTTCATGGAAATATGTTGATTTCAGCAAAATTCTTACCTTGTGTTGGATCCAGTCTTGTCACATGTATTGATGCACATGGGCACAAGTATAGGCAGTAGTTTTGTGGTCAAAGCACTGACATATAAGGAAGTCCTCCGCCAGGGAAAGACCTGAAAGCACTATACATTTTGTCTATTTTGTGTTCATTTCTCACAATAAATTCTGAAAAGTCTCTCTTTTGAGCCATGGTGGAACCAGCTTTTGAAAAGGAGATTCTTGTTCTCTTGCCAGTCCTCAGAGATAAGAGGTTGTCTAACAGGAACGTAGCACAGCATGGATGAAGCTGGGGAAAGACAACCCTGGCTCTGCACAGATAAGACAGAGAGTTGTACACTGATTTCTTTCTCATCTGAAAATATAAAACAGTGTTGATGCATGTCATTATTTCCCTGTTGCAGTTATACAAGCTTAGGATGTGGTACCAAACTAAAATCCGAAGAAAACAAATATAAGCACGCTAGCGTCTTTGGGCTCTGAGCCTGCTGCTACCACGTTTTACCCTTTCATCACCTGAATGTTGCATTGCAAACCAATTAGCTGCTTATTTTGCAAAACCAGATCAGGGAGCACCGTGGTGGTCCTTATCCTTTCCATTTGTAGGTAATCCCCAGCTCAGTCTGCAAATGGGCAGCAGCAGCAACATGGCCATAACTTAAACCACAGGTTGTCAGTCAGACGTCTGCCAGCTGCAGTAGCCAGTTTTAATGGGTAATGAAATCCCCTTTCCTTTCCCCTGTACACCTGTATCTCTGAAGCCAAAGTAGATTTGCAAGTAGGTCGTGTAACCACGGCCTTGGAAGCTGAACTATCGCTTGGAAGGGTGCAGAGATATGGAAAGATGTGGCTTAACCAGCTCACAGTAAGTCCAAGGATGGCATCTCTCGAAAGGCTCTCAGAAGCAGAAGGCTGGAAATTCCCTTACCAGCTACCCTGGGTAAGTAATGAGTCAGAGATATTAGTGCCTTGTACAGGTGGAATTACAATGAGTTATAGTGTTAGTACTTATCGAACAATTAGCTTCGTGTTTGACAGTGTGTATTTATAGAAGTGTGCTTGCATAGGTACCTATGCATGGATGTGTCCACCACAAACTTATGTATATAAAAATTACCATCGTCGTTAAATATTTCTTTGAAGATTTTTTTTTTCCATTTGGTGCTTTCATTGTTCTTAATTGTATTTACAAAAGTGTTACAAATATTGTTATATATGGTCACCCTGGTGTTTTCAAAGTTGCCTAAAGGGGACCATGATTTTTGGTAGAGTCCCTCCCACTCCCATCAGCTCCTTTTGCTTACCTTAAATGTTGCTTATATCCCATAATGTTTCCTCCCTTTGGCCTGTGCTATTTGATACCCGAAGGACCTCTTCTGAGAATACCTATTATAAGAACAGTAAGAGTTCATGAAATATGGCTGGGATAAATCTGAGCATAGGCTCCAGAAGCTGAACAACAAAAGGCTTTGCAGTATTATTTTTAGCACAGTTGTGGGCTAGGGAATTTTCATGTGATTTTATGAACATTTGAAAACATTCTGCTTGGGGTTTTTTGCCTTCTACCAGATGGGCTTGCTGAATCCTTGAACTTTGTTAGAGGCATGCTTGAAAACTAGTTTTTTACACAGGCTGCGTGTTCAATGAGAGTGGCCCTTAAGTCACTCCTAAGCTGTCTGGCATTTCGACAGGGTGTCCGCAAATGCATCACAGCGGAAGATTGAAAGGACAAGGTGGTGCTGGATTTCTACTTCTTACTTGCTATATAGCTTGAGCAATATTAGTCCCTACCTGGCAATTATGAAAGTCTCTCTGAAGAGTAATTTTTAGGATTTTCTTGATTTATTTTTTTTTTTTTCATCTTGGTGACCTGCCTTCAACATTTGACAAACGCAGCAAGACAGCCTGCCTGTTCGACAGAGGAACTTGCTTGAAAAGAAAAAAGGATCTTTGTGGTATTTACTTAATGATGGCTGGTTTTGTTTAGCAAGTGCAGTGTCTATTTCAAGAGGGATAAACAACTACTACTTGAACTATCAAAACATGTAAGGCAGTTTTCCCTTGACCATTTCCAAATTGTATTTTTATGTTGTCTTTCTCTTTAATCTGAGTCTGGAAAATACTCCAGATCATTTAATGAAATACTTTTTCTGCCAAAGCTTGATATTTGTTGCTAAGTGCTTTACTCACAAACAGCCGGGGGCTGCAAGCGCCAAAACGCACTGCCAAACATTCTACTTAAGCTTCGGCAAATTCCCTTACTCTCTGGCAGGATTTTTGCTCGACCCAGCAGAATTTATTGTCAACATTTCACTAGATTCAGCAGTCTTCAACTTTCAAGAAGGAGTTTGGCCACACAAGCATGATTTGTCAGTGAAATCAGCTAAACTTTTTTTCATGAACTCACAAGGAAAAAAAAAAAGGTGGAGTCTTAACCATGTATTACATGTGATAAAGTCAAGTGATGGTTGCGCAGTCCGCTGTCCTTACAGATGCCAAAGCACTATGGCAAGCGGTCATAGCAAGACTTAGCCTCGTTTGGTACAGGCAAGGTTCACTGAAGAGCTGCAGCGAAGGATGACAAAGCTGGCGTGCGCACAGAAAATGATAAAGTGAGAGTCTTTTGGAAAGTACCCCTGTCATTGCCATGCCACAGTAATGCCAAAGAAGCACAAACAGTGAAGTAGAAGAGGCTGAACAAGTATAAAAATAGAAAATAAAATTGGTTTTGTTGGATTGTACATAGGCCAAAGGCTGACTAGCTAATAGGTGTGAATGAGTTGAAATCTGCCCCTGAAGGACTTCAAATTTCTGCATATCTGAGCCGCTTGTTTACTGGAATGTAGTCAAAGGTAAGTGCATACGTTATAGACGTTGGTTGATGCTGGCCAGCTGTGGTGAGAAGATCTGCAGAATTCAGCAAAGGATCTACTTTGTTGCTGGAGAAGTCAAGTGGCTTCCAAGTGGATCATCTCCTGAAGAGTAGCTGCAGAAGGCTATCATGGGAAAATGTCAGATTTTGCTATATGAAATTTTGACAAGAATTAACCTTTTCCTGTGTTTTGAAAGCTTATTTTGCGTTAGAATCACTACTGTGTATTTAAAAGAAACTTATTGTAGTAGAAAAAAAGCACTCTTGTGCAATAATTGTTGGTTCTGAATAAAAAAACCAGCAAAATGAAAATGTACCATTCAGATTATATTTGTGAACTATTTGACATTGGCAGTTGAAATTTTGCATTATTCGTATTACTGGCTTAGTAAAAATGATATTATTGCTTCATATCAAGTGTTACAGGAACATTACCAGCTTTTCTGTAGTAGCCTGAGGTCAAAGCTGTCTTTCTCTTGCCTTTGTTCACACCCTGGCCTCTCCCCAGCCCCAGCATTTCATTGAAGACTTCTGATTGTACCTGCAGCGGGTTCCAGCACAATGTTTTTGCTTTGTTTGCGTTGCTTTTCATGGCTAATCTGAGCTTTGTGTGCTCTTTGGCTTCCCTGAATAACATGTGGATAAATGCATTTCTCAGAGTGTGCAGGGAAGCCTCCAGGGTTTACAAGGTGAGGTGCTTAATGGTTGATGTATCTGGTGCTGGATACACCACCTGCAGAGATACTGGGATAATATGTAGGGATAGGCATCTGGGAAGTCTGTGGGTGCATTTGCGTTGGTTTTGGGGTGGATTGGGAGAGTGGTTTTGATGTGCACCTCACAATCATTTCTTCCTGCTATGCTTTCGTTTGCTTCGTGGAGCAATCTCGGTGTGCACAAACCGAATTCCTGTTGGATGAAAGCAAAAGCAGTCCTTCAGGATGGCACGTATGCGCCCCAGCCTCTAATGGGCATTGAGTCCACAGGATCAGACTAGAGCTGGTGCAAAGTAGAACCCCAGAAAATGCAACACCAGTTACTTCATTCTACAAATCCATTCCTTTTGGGCTGCGTTACTTGCTAGCATAGACACAGTCTGTAAATGTCATGGCGCTGTGTGTTGTTTGATCTTTATTCCCCCCAAAAAAATATTTGAATAGAAGTTTTCGGTTTATTTGATTTGTTTGGTTGTTTTTTTGCATGTAAATTTCTTACATTTGCTGCTCCTGAGGCTGTAAAACGTTGTCAAATCCTGACCGAAGCGTTAGGTGGTTACTGGCAGCCTGCCTTTGCTCTGGAGCTGCCGAGCCCTGGGGCCGAGCTCCCAGAAGGTGCATTGCTCTCGAGTTTGAGTACCGGCCCTGAACCCATTTTCCTCCAGCAAAACTCCTGGCTACTGCAGTTAGCTACTCATCTCTTATTCTAAATATGCAGAGCGGACTGTCCCTATATTATCTGGAAACTAGGCAGTTACCTTATTTCTATACAAATCAACTGGCTAAAGATTTTTATTTTAACCTTTGTTCCAGAAGTATTTTACTAGAAGGGTGGGGATGAGACCATTGAATTCTTACATCTTTTTTTTCCTTCTCCTTCAACAGATACATTCTCAGGACTGGATTCAGATGTGACAGCAACTCCAGAGGCATATGTGATATATGATGATGGTACTGTTTAACTCTAAAAGTCTATTGCAAATGGCATGTTTGGGGTTGGTTTTTTTTCCCTGTCTTCTTTCTTTGGAATTGGGTTTGAGGGGGCAGGTTGGTGAATGGGAGCTTAAGCAAGCAGTGGTGATCTAGAAAAGCTTTCCAGAGTCCTGCGTCACAGGTGAAGAGCAAGGGTGCAAAGGCAGCTGTTTCTGGACCTGAAAGTCCCTTTCTGTCGGTCCTGCAATCTAACAGGAACCTGTTGTGGAAATAAATTACGTTCCGAGCTGGGTCATACAGTCACTGCTTCAATGCTAGATTTACTTTCTCCGGTACAACTTCTAACTCCAACCCAGCCAAAGTCAATGAAATCTTCTAAAATAGAAAATCCAAACAACATCTGAGCCCTGGAAACTTGAAATACCTTAGTGAGTTTTTAGCACTCTACAGCATTGTGAATACATTTCTTTTTTTGTCTTTTTTTTTTGGATGTGTAGTCTGCATTTAGACTATAAAACATGCTCATACTGAATGAGGTCACCTACATATAAAATAATTAATCTGCTGAATTCATGTGGAATTTAAATCAAAGAGATTTGAAATCAGATAAAAGGAGAAGAGGGAAAGATATTTGCACAGTTATATTCGTGCCATCTTGATATTATAATCCAGGACACACAAAACAGCTGAGGAGGAAGCCTCAAGTCCCAGCATTTAATTATAAGTTTGCATAGGGAATGCAGGCAAATTCTCAGTTACGGGAACTAGCATTCACTTTCTGCCATCAGTGACTTCTCATGTTCTGCTCCTTTTAATCCTCAGATTCCTCCTCCTACCCCCACATACTAAAGCGAATAAGTACAGACCTCAAAGCTTTTTAGTAGAATTTATGGCTCTAGAATAATAAAAATCTTTTTCTCTGTGGATGCAGTGCTGGGATCTTAAGTCAAACCACCACCACCAAGAGAAAAGCATTTAAAAAGCGAGTGCAGCAGCTGAGAGGAGGATATCATAGACTTTTGTGCTTTTTATTCTGATGACTTCATACTGAGGCCAAAATTTAGAATGTGGGGAGGAGAGGAGGAACTAAAAACTGCACAAGTCCTACATTCCCTGTTCCTTACATCCCTGTGAAAGCGGAATATCCTCAGTGCACAGGTCTTTTGCCAGACCTCCCCTGAGGTGCAGACAACAAATGCTTCAGCGGTTTAGGCAGAAAACGCTCAAAGCCACGAGCAGAGTCCCACAGCCTGTACGAGGACATGGCTGGGATGCCAAACGCATCTTTCCCTTCATTTTGTGTGTCACTCTGGTAGCGCAGCTAGCTTTTCAAAGAGCACTGGATTTAATAGGACTGAATATCAAGGAGGACTGACTATCAGGAGATTCACGTGGGCCAGTTTGCCTTCCCTCGTGGCCCTGATGGGACCACACATGGCAAGTACAAGACTCTGCACCTCTTAAGTCACAGGAAGGTTTAAGAGCAGTATGGACCAGCGCCAGCATTGTAGAATAATAACACAGAGTTTCCTTAAAAAGCCATTTTTTCAGTCACTTATCTCCTTCCTTTGGCACCTGAGGGCTGTGGCCAGGGATTCAATTGCTGCGCTGTCTTCTCTTGGGGGTTGTGAGGGGAGGTGGCAGAAAAAGCGCAGTCAGGATGTTGCTGTATGAATACATTAGTTTATTGTCATCCTTTTTACCTGTGTGAGCAAGGTCTAAATCAGCAATGACACTAGTATTCTAAGGGAAAGACTTTGTGCTCGCTGTCCATCAGTTCGGTAGAAACCCTTGCAAGGCTGCGGTGTGACCAACCCTGACTTAGAGGCCCATAAGGAGTGTGGGGCAGCTAGGGCACTCCTTTGGGACGGTGGCTGGTGACAGAAATGTTTTGCTTCTCATAGTTAAGCCAAAATAACATGAAGCAAGCTAACATTTTCATCTTATGCTTCCTCCGAAGACTACGAGTTTTTTGAGAGCACTTTGCCACCAACCACCACCACTGTCACCACCACCACTGCTTCTACAACGACGGAATTGGAAGTTGTCTATCCGGAGACTAGTGTTGTTGGCACTGGCCCTGTGTCAGAATACGATATTGCTGGGAAGAAACGGTTCACTGGTAAGGATGTCCCTTGGCTTATGTAGCTTACTACTTGTGCTGCAAAGAGTTCTTGTACTAGCAAGGTCAATCCTTAAGCTAAGAGCATTGCACAAATAGGTCCAACAGACCAGTGTGTGGTCCCTGCAAGGACTGCCACCTGGGAAACCCAAACAGCAGTACTTTGTTCATAGCTTCGATGCTTGCATGTCTGCGTGTGGACCCACACTGATTTTGTTGGAACGGTGCAAACCTCTTTGTAGTCTTTCAGTGTAAGTGCTCTGCTTGTATTCTGCATTGTGTTCGGTTTAGCTGAAGTCAGTAAGAAAGCAGGAGTGTCTACTCCAGTGCTCAGTTCAGCTCAACTGCATCATTTTAAGTTCACACCAGTAGTTCAATCAGTGCAAGTCTCCACGTAGGTGTGAGTTGTCCTCTGGGGGAACCTAATTCTTTTCCACTGACCCATGCAACCCAAGCATGTATGTCAAAGGTGTGCTTCAAAGTCGAGGAATGAATGGTATTTGGGATATGAACTTTCCAAGAAGTAAAACCAATAGAGATAAATTTGACTTTGCTATTTGTATCTTTGCACTGTAGAAGGAACTTGGTGAAGGAACCCCCAATACGTTGACATGAGCCATGAGGCTGACTCGTGTGTGCATGAGCTATTCAAGAGTGTTGCAGCTCTAACTTAAGAGCTGCTCTACTTCTTTGTCAGAAGCAGCTGCGGGCCAGACCAGAGGGATTTGGTCTCTGCAAATCCGGTCTCTCTCACTGCATTCCAGCCTCCACCCTAGACTGGTAACCCCCCACAGCACTTTACAAACCTCTGGCATTTGAACTGAGGTCAAGTCAGCTGCTGGCTCACCTAGCATTTCAGATGGGAGTTCAGGGGATGGAGAGTCAGCTTTGACTCATGTCTTGCTTTCCCTTCCAATATCCACAAGCTTCATGCGGCTTAGAGTGGAGCTCTGCTGCTGGAGTAAAAGATTCGGTTTTATATATACCAAGACTTTTTCCAGTGCATCTTCAGTTTCCCTGTCCAAACAATTTCATGATGTTTCTATTCAGCTCTCTCACTGACAGTGCTTCTTGATTCATTTAGCTGGAGAGGCTAAAATTAACTTCATTACAAGATCTGGAAAAAATCCCTTTAGGGCATGAAATCCAATAAGATAAACCAAGAAATGTTGGTTTATGAACATTTCAAGGCACTAGGGAAATAATATTACCATTTCAATGAATTGTATTATTGCAACTGAATAAACATTTCCAAAGCAAGTTTTATAGTCCTTACTTTGAATGTTACAGTGACTTTTAAGGCAATGAAAAGATGGTTTAATCTTTTCCTGAACTGAAATGCAATTCCAGTCGGTCTAAAGCTTTCAAAAATAGAAGTTACAGGTTGGGAGCACATGCCTGGAAGGACTCATGACTCCTGGTCCCTTAGTACCCAGGGGAGCACAGCAATAATCCCTTCGTTTAACCTGGTCGGACTTCATCTTGGAATTGCTTGTCTTGTTCCCTCTATTGTTTCACTCCAGCTTCAGGATATTTGTGTAAGAACCAACCACTTAGACCCATAAAGTCTTAGGCGATCTAAGGCCCTGGCAGGGATCTGTTCCCACGTGTGGAGTTTGGGTAACATTTTCACCCCACCTTCCAGAGCAGCTGGAGGTAGTGTGTGAAGGGTCCTGTGGTCAGACCGCTCTCTTCTGCCTCTCGTAGCAAAGACGATCCTTCTGTCTTTGCATAACTGGGTACAGTTGTGGGAGGGGAACCTGAATATTGGCATCCCGTTCCCCCTACTCATCAATCAAATTGAGCATGAGCCATGCTTTGTTGGCAGCAGTGACCTGTCTCTGGGCTGGAAGGTGAGGAATTTTAAAGTGTGCCACAAAACTTGACTCCCTTTTTCAGAAATTGCCAGCCTGTGTGCTGCTCCGTGGTACCTACAACGTGCTAACTCAACACCACCCTTTCCTGTCTCTTCCAGCTCCTTATGTGACCTATCTCAATAAAGATCCAGCAGCCCCCTGCTCCTTGACAGAGGCCCTGGAGCACTTCCAAGTGGAGAGCCTCGATGAAATCATCCCTAATGACCTCAGAGAAAGAGAGCTGCGTCCCCTGAAAGCCCCCCACAACATCACTGTTGTGGCAGTTGAAGGCTGTCACTCCTTTGTCATCGTGGACTGGGCCAAACCTGCTCGAGGAGACATGGTAACAGGTACTCTCCTGAGGGTTGGTCTCCTGATGCGGTAGTGGGGAAGGTTTTCTTAAATGACCGTTTTTTACCTTAAACTGAACCAACAGCTCATGAAGTTCTCACTCCTCTGCAATTTTCTGAGGGAGGTGAGTACTTTCGGAGTAGCGAGAAAGGTCCCTCTGTCATCCCAGGGATGGGGAATATGTTAAATGAATGTATTAATTTACATCTCCTTTAATGTCTTTAGAACTTTTGAGATCCAGAAAGAAGCCTAACTGACTTCAAGAATCACTCTCAAAAGTTGCTGGAAAAACACTAGAGTAAATAACCAAAATATTTTAGAAATTAATCAACCCCTGTTTGTCAGTGGACCCAAAGGATCTGAAGTAAGCATTGGAAAAGGCCAGTGCTTTGGTGCTAAGGTCCAGTTTTCGAGGAGCCTCACCCAGCTCTGCAGCTGACAGCCATGGCAGAGGGGTGGGGGCTGGTGGAGCCGAAGCAGCGATACTGGTGGGGAAGGGAGAAGGTGGCACATGAACAGGCTGTGTGGTGTCTGTCCCACAGCGTTTCATTCTTCAAGGCTGTTGATACAGTACCTTACCGAGTGCAGTTTGAGTAACTTCTTTTTTTTCTCAGAAAACCCGTAGTATTTCTAGCTGTATTGGTTTCTGCACAGTCAGTGTATCACTTAAAAAGTGAATGGGTTGCCTCTGTCATCTTTTTGCTTTCACTGTGTGCCATCCTGGGTACCATCCTCTGATATAATGCTCCATCATTATTAGCTAGTGACAGGAAATTGTTGTAGCCTGGGATTTTCCAGGAGAGTCAGGCATCAAATCACTTTCATGTTCAGAGTTGCTTCTACTCTTTTTAACCTATAAAATCTACCACGACACCTAAGGATATAATTTATTTAAAAATTATTTAGAATCCTCACAACTATTTGTCTTTCTTTTTTGCAGGCTATCTGGTTTACAGTGCATCCTATGATGACTTTTTAAAGAATAAGTGGTCAACCAGGACTGCAGGATCTACTCATTTGCCAATTGAGAACCTGAAGCCCAACACACGGTAAGGATTTGATCCACTCTTTCTCACTTCTGTTAGGGAAGTAAAACAAATTTTGAGACTTGTCAATTGTTTTTTTTGGCCTTAGTATAGGTGTTGACAACTGATCTAGATTTTACTCATTCTGTTTGACAGCAAATTGTTTTATAAACCGCACAGCTACTTACGTGATATCTTTACCATATTAACCCTGGAGCAGATGACTGTGTACATGCACGTATGTTTGTGTATATGAAAACACGTATCAGTGACAGAGAAAACCTTCTTTTAAAAATGCGTTTTCTAGCCTTATGCATAACTGAATCAAATTTTGGGGGGAAGAGTATACTAAAGTATACCCTTGGTACGATGTGATGTCGCCATTCCCACATACTGGTGTGGCCAAGGTTTGATACCTAAGGGCTGGTGGGGAGAGGTGCCGCTCACTGATCTGTTTTCGCTGTCTGTTCCCATGAGTTGTGCTGGACGAGAAGGCTTGGCAGTATATAATGAGGCTGTGGCAGTTGCTCAGAAGTCAGTTTGGCAGAAGCTTTAGGTCTTTGTCTTGCAAAAAATCTCACTGAAATGGCAGAACAAGAATGCGTGCTTTGCGTGATGTTGCAATAATACATGACAATTGGGAGGGAAGTACATGGCCACGAAGGGACTACATTAAAATTACTTCTTTTGACAGATGCTTGGTGTCTCTCCTACTTTTCTCTCAAATTCTGAGTCTGAAATACTTTTGGTGCTGCCTTGGCCTAGGTGATTGCTCTTCACGTGCTGACTGCAGTCTCTTAGACAGTAGTGGCAGGTGTTGCTCACGTATTTGGTAACGTGGGAGATGCACTGGGATTGTGGGCTGGGACTAGCATGCCTCGCTTGATGATGAGCTACAGATCAGAGCATCCACTTCTAGGACAGGCACATAGGGTTTGTGCCAGGGCAACACAGAAGAGAGAAACGGTATGACCTAAAGTATCTTTTCTTTCCAAGATAATTTCTAGATGAAGGAAAGGTTCTGCAGGTTAAAAGCAGTTGATTGAGAACCTCAACCTAGAAAACAGAATTGTTTGACCATGACCTTCATCTAAAATCTTAATAGATTAAATAATAAAATAAGATAAAATGAATTATGAAAATTCAGTGCAGTGTAGCATTTGAGTCTCAAGTATGACCAGGCATATTTTTTCTGACCATGCTACAGTGCTTCTCCGCACAGCCCTGACTTTAGCATAAACTCACACGTGCCTTGCCCCTGCAGCTGCTCCTGCTGGCCCTGAAACATCCAAGCACCAAGAAATCACAGGATCTGTTAAGAAGCAGGTGCTGGTCCCCTGTCTCCTCCCTGGAGATTTCCCTCCAACCAAAGAGTTCTGAAGACATGGCATCTCTTTGGGAGAGCCAGCACCGGAGCAACTTCAGCAGCAGTTCCTTAGGCAGGTGAACCAGAGACATGTCCACAACAGGACACTTGCAGCTTCAAAAACCTGGGATATTAGCAGGCAAAAGGTGTATGGAGAGGCTGGATAAGCACACACAGGACATCCAAAGAGTTAAAAAAACAGAAATAAGATGTTACATGAAAAATTTCGTGCCATTTTATTCTCTCCTGTTCTGTCTACAGTGCTGTCAGTCACATGCTTCATGAGGCTTTTTCTTACATATCCAAGAGATAAAAAAAGACAACCTATTCTGAAGATTAGTAATCTAGACCTCAGTGCAAGTCCTTTGGAGTGGTTTGTGGTGTGTTAAAGCAGTATTACTTGCACAGCAGAGAGCTGCAATTGTATGCTCTGCGTCCGTTAGTGCCCTTGTTATAAAACATCGTTACAGTTGTATGGAGGAAGATGTGGGGCACAGTTTATCTGTGAGTTTCACCTGTCATAACAAGATGGAAGTGCTCTGAGATCTCCTAAACTCTGTTCCTAGATAGTGAGAGAAGTGGGTGCAGACCTTCCTGCCTTTGTACATCCATGTCCTTGTGACGTGAGGACACCCTTTCCCTAAACCTCTCTCCTCCTACTGCTAGTCCCAGGTCCTGCCTCCACATCCCAGACTCCTGTACATCCCCAGCCCTTTTCCTCTTCACCAGTTTTTGCTCCTCCACTCTCACCCTGTCCCCCATGCAGGCCAGGGAGGCATATGCCCCAGCTTCCCCTGGCTAGGGTCCTCCATCTCTTACTTCTCTGCGTTTTCCACCTTCCAGCCACAGCTCCTCACCTCTTCACTGTCTTTCAGTCAAGTCTCCCTCACCTGCTGCCCCAAGGACAGTGTTGAAGGCCAGCGATAGCTCTCTGCTTCTCGTGCCCAACATCTCAAGGGCTCCAGGTCACCAGAAAAAGCGGTTGCAGTGAAAACCCCCAGGAACCCTGCAACCGCTGTCCCGGCCACACTCGGTACAGGGGAATTGGTGGGAATTGAGCTGCCAACCTGTGACACATCTGGTGAGACATACGTTAACTGCGGCCTTCAGGTCACAATTTGGCTGTATTTGAATGGGGTTTTATAGGAACAGCAGGGTTACAAGTTCATGCATCTTCATAAACCTAGTAACTCTCATGTGAAATATTGAGGTGCTGTTTCAAAGTAGGGAGGTTCGAGCAAGTGCTCTTTGTTTTAAGCATATTATTTCCCCAGCATCTTACTGAAGAATGGTGTAATCCGTTGGCCTGTGTTGTACGCTCAGTGGAGGCAATAAAGGCTTCATGTGGGGTCTGTGGTGGAGAAGGAGGGTTCTTTACAACAGAGAAATTGTGCGTATCAGCCAATCTCATTCACATTCTCCAAATCCACAGACTGAATTGATTGCGTATTTTTTGTCTTAAAAATAACTCCCTAACCACTGGGAAAAGACCCCATGCCTAACTAAGAAAATATGGCATGAAATCTGAAGTTAGTCTAAAAATTTTGTGTTTGCATTGTTAGCACATTTTATGAGAAATCTCCGATTAAGTCAGATTTACTGTATGCAGATGTTACTGACTGCTGAGTGCCCCGTGAGGGGCTGCTGGTGGTGCAATCTTGCGGTGTGCACAGCGTATCAGCAACAGGTTGGCATCTTGGCAGAAGTCAACCCCAGAGAAGATTTGAAGCTGTCAACATATCCTGGAAAACATCTGCCTGTTGTTTGGGTTTTACAAACAAAACGGAAGTCTATGTTTAACCCGTGTCATGAGTTTTCTTCCGAGGCCTGGTCTAACCTCTGTTTGAGAAGTGGAAGTTTTTTCCATTAGCAAAACTCTGGTCAGCTTCAGGGGGCACAGGAGATGCTTCCTTGTGATGTGTGAATTTAAATGCTAAAAATACTTATCTCGCTTTGTGACTGTGAGTGCCAGCTCTTCAATTCCAACGGAAGGGAGACAGCTTGAATTAAGTCAAAATCATTTTGCTCCAAGTGACAGGTATGGTGATACAAGTAGTCATATAGTGTAAATGAATAAAAATATTACATTACAGTTTACTATGTCCTTTCTTGACATGTCAGTAGAAGTGGTATATAAAAAAAAACCTCAAAGAAGGTTTGTTTTTAGGAGGAAAAGCTTTTTTCTTGTCTGTATTGAGAATGAACAACAAACGGTATTGCATCTGTTGCAGTTGTGATTTTCTGTGCCTATTGGTAACGACTCATTGCAGTTCTGCCTAAGCAAAGTGTAATCAAAGCGCAATCTACTTAAAGATTACAAATCTTGTTCATGTATTTACGTGGTGAAGAACAGTTGAGTTACAGTGATTTGAGATTTCCTGGCAAATTCATCAGCTGAAGCATTCTGACTAATGAAAACGTCAGATGCCTGGACCTAGAAAGGCTTTGGCAGTTTCTTCTTTATTTGTCATGTCTGAGAAAGAAATATATCCTAACTGCATGATTTTATTGACATTCTTAATACAGCAATCATAGGATCATCTACGTTTAAATCACAGGTCAGCAAGTCATGAGACCTGGCTCTCTCTCTGGCACGACTAGAGGCTTCTTGTGCGTATAAAGGCTTAGGAACTAATTTTCCAATTTAGTGAAATAAAATGTACTCATAACTTCATTGCTATTTTTTCCAGACAGTCGGGCAGGCAACTTGAACAGTCGTGTGTCCCAGACAGGCTTCTGTGTACCTAACAGGACACCTGACTGCACAGTTGCCCTGATTGTGTAGGTGGTTGGTCCCTGCATTACGCGTTAGATACAAAACTGCATGATTTTTCCCCTCTTAAACAGGTGGACGAGGTTCTTGGGCTGCTCTCTCCTATTTCAGATGTGGATCATCGCACTTACGTATCTCATGGGAATGTTTTGAAGCTAGCGTTAATACACGCGTATTAAGTGCACTGAAAAGGTTGCTCACAAGGTGCCACTGTGTTGCAAAGGTGGTATGTAGTTATGTCTCTTTGGAAGCAGTGGGAAGTCAGGCATCCATACAGATGTTTTCACTATGCTTTGAAGCATTACGGAAAAGATGTAGGCTGGAAAACATTTTTCTCCTGCACTTCTGAAATAGTTACACCAGGCACTGGGCTAAGTCAGTAACAGGTTGGTGCTGGGTTGCAGCTGTCTTGGGTCAGCGTGAGGCATCTCTGCCCTGTGTCCCATCCGTGTGGTCAGGTTTGTGCTGCCGGCCCCTGCCCCGATCCGGGTGGAAAAGGTGCGAGTGGGTGAAGGAGGTGTGGATGGATGCAGGTGTCCCACAAGAGCATTAACCACTCGGGGGCTTAAAGCAGTGCTCAGGTTGCCGTGCTCTGCTGGGTGGCCAGAAGTAGAGGAGCACACGGGAGGCTTTTTGCCTCACCTCTCCTCTTTCTCCAGCCGTGCTAAACACTCAGAAGCTGCGGTCAAGAAATCGAGGTCAATAGTTAAAACCATGGGCAAGTATTTCTGCCAGCAAGAGGATTGTGCTAGGCATGAGCTAAAAGCACAGCCTTGCTAAATTTCAGTATTTAACGTGGTTTTTTTTTGCCACAGTGCGTGTGTCTTTTAAGGAAAGCCATGAGTTGTTGGTGAGCATTGCATAGTCATTAATTACAGGCAGAACTGGCTGCAGAAAGCAGGAGTGGAGCCGATTTCTGGTGTCAGCTGTGGGACACGGCAGGGACAGGGCACATCCCCTGAGCAGGGGTGGGAACGTGTCCCGCAGAGGGTCTGACCGTACGTGTGCTCCACGTCTGGCACAGGTACAAGGTAAAGCTCATGCCACAGATGATGCCCAGAATATTTCAATTCTTGTAGCTTCCATGTTGATCTCACCTAGAGGACCCGCTTGTAATATTTATGGAGTGAACAAGTGGATGCCCTGGCATGTACCCTGGAGATAACCGGCTTGCTTCACGGCAAAACCCACTGTTCACATAACTGCCACCCTCCTG